TACGTACACATATACCTACACACATTTAAAAGAACGTTTAAACAGCTCTCAACCAATTTCATTCTTTTTTTTTTTTTGCATAAGTCAAAATTGTAAATTGTACAGGAAAAAACAACACCCATTTCATCGTTATTTACTGCTTGTATGTTTATCTCAGCAGTAAATGAACTAATGAGTACCTTGACGAAACAAATGTAAACGTACTTAATGAAGAAGAAAAAATATTGTGTGAAGGGGATATTTCTATTGAAGATTGTAAAGCGGCACTCATATAGGAAAAATAATAAATCTTCAGGTTCAGGTTCACTTCTTTTTTGGAACCAGATTGGATTTTTAGTGTGTAATTCAATAAAAGCCAGTTTTAAGTCACAAGAATTGCCTTGTTCACAAAGACGTGGAATAATCACCTTACTTTTCAAAGGAGCTGACAGACAAAAATTAGATAATTGGCGACCCATTAGATTTTTAAATGCAGACTATAAAATCCTTGCTCAGGTCCTAAGCAATAGGTTACAGATGGTTATCAAGTCTTTGGTTAACACTGAACAAAAAGGTTACAATAAATCATCCTACTTAAAACGATTAGATGCAAATGTAATCATAAATTGCGTACAAAAAATAACAAAAGAAATACATTTTTTACACTGCCGTTCTTGACACAAAAAGAGGTATAATAGTAGACAAATACTTGGCTTACAAACTTGTGAAAAGACGTGTATATATTTAAAAGAATTAGATGGATTGTTCTTGTGGGAAACTATACACGAAGTCAACCTGTTTGCAGTGAAGTAGATCTGAAATATATTCACACATTGTATTGCCCTTTTTTCGCGGCCCTATATTTTTTCACGATTTTACAATTTCTAACATTTTGCGACCTTTTATTTTCGCGATTTTACAATTTAACATACCTACCATCTTGCAGAAAGTGTAGGCCTAACATTGATATGTTATATAAAACGATTGTAATAGTTAATTATCAACTAATAAACATCCGTATTGTACAAGAAATACAATGCTACGATTTTTATTCCACCTTCAGGTAGGACTGGCATAGGCTCAGCTAGGAAAATAGACCACCACTGGTACCACTTTACTCTGGCTGTGTGAAGTGTGATGTATTGCCCTAGCCAAGACAGCTTATTTTCAGAATAGGAATATGGCATTATAGTCATTTGTATAATACTGCATTTAGCTTTAAAAATGTGATTAAATGATTAAAAAAATACTGCACAAGGAAGCAAGAATGTTTCCATGAAATCTTCAGAGAATATCAGTTTTATATTTGCTATGAGTATGGCCTAGTATTGATTTTGAAGACACAAGTATCATTCAAAATTTCCCCATTTTCGCACGTCCTTATTTTTCGCGATCGTCGTTTCATCGCGAAAATCGCGAAGATTATAAGAGCGCGCGAAAATAAAGGGCTATACAGTAAATCTAACCCTGTTAATACCAACCCTGTTAAGACCAATCCCCTACATACAGGGTAAGTAGGCCTAAATAAATATCTGACAGACGAAACTTTGTTTTCATTGTAAATTAAATCAAAGGACGTGGTTGTTTACATGGCTTGTTGTTTTAGGGGAAAGGCAAAAATTAGTGAAAACAATTTAACACTGCTTGCAGTAAGGAAATCTGAAATATAATTATGTGTAGCCTACCGGTATGTCAACAAAAATGACAATACAGACAAATCTGAATAATACAGAATTGAGCAGAAGTTTAAAATGTAATGTATATTCAAGTAATAATACAATTGTTGTAATAATACTTTCGACCATAAGTCATCATTAGGTATAAATATACATATATAATAGGCCTATATACTGCAAAGATATGTCAAAGGTCAATAAAAAAGTTTCTGGTTGATATTAAGAAATTATTCTGTTAAAATATAAATGTGCATATTTTAAACATTTTGTTACAAAAAGCAACTCTGTACGATCAGTGGTTGCCAAGATATTAAATTCACGCAAAGTTGAGGTCAAAGGTCAAAAGCACAATTTCCGGTCATTTCTAGAGAAAATTGTCCATTACAGTAAATATAAATATGCATGTTTTAAACATTTTGCTGCAAAAAGCAACTCTGTACGACCAGTGGTTTTCTAGATATAGCTCCCTATATTTCCACCCCTAATTTGCATATTTATGCTAATAAGGTCGGCAAAATGGCACTTCCGGTCATTTTTGAAGAAAATGTTTCATTAGCGTAAATAGAAACATGCATGTTCTGAACAACTTTAAGAAAGAATCAACTTTCTACAACAAGTGGGTACCAAGATATAAGTACCCTATATTTTCAGAACTAATTTGCATAGTTTAACTAATTTGCATATGAAGATATGCGTAAAAAAATTGGCGACTCATTTTATTGGATTCAGCATACTTCAAAGTATATATTCCATCCAAAAAACTAAAATGATCACAAAAATCCCACGGGAGCCCATTTTTCGACATATGCCCCCGGACTAATAGGCCTAAGTGTCGTCTCGATCTGTTTCTAATTTTCGAAAGTAATTTATAGTCAGACTGTACGGGGTAAGTTTGTGAATTAAAAAAAAATCGATAGACCTAAAACATACTTAATATAGTGGCTTGATATCTTTGTAGGGCGGATTGTACGTGTTCCAGCTAATGGACTGGTATTCGGCTGGATTCTCACTAATGGTCATCGCTATCGTGTTCTGCTGTGTTATCAGCTACCAATACGGTAGGTTTAGACATATAGCCTATAATTATGCACTTCTTAAGAAATTGAGAAATAACATGCTTATGGTTCTTATCGCGGTTGTATTCAAGTTATATAGACACTACATACGTTTACTTTAAATATGCTGTCAAAACCAAGGGTGCCTTACAACAGGCGTAAAACGTTTTGTTATCTGCGTCATTTAACGCACCGAACGTTAATTTTCGTAATGGAATATGAATCATTCATTCATTCATTTAGCCTACTATTTCCTTTCATTGATCAATGTATTTACTTATTTATTTTCCTATTGATTAATCAATGGTCAATTGCTTTGACTGTCATCAATTTCTAAATTCTATAAAGCTTTATACTGTTCCTCACCATTCCTTGGTATCAAAATCCAGGGTTAGCCGCGTGACTAACAATACTACTTTGTATTTACTTGCATAATTTTAGGTACTAACCGTTTCTTGGACGACATTGAAGCGATGGTGGGATTCAGACCTCGAATCTACTGGAAGGCGTGTTGGATGGTAGTCACCCCGGTTCTCCTCGTTGTAAGTTCTCATATAATTTACATAAACATTGAGATACATATGCAGGCAATGTGTAATGAAATTGAATATAATTACAGTATAGAGTAGTGTGGCCCCTATAAAGTATCGAATTATAAGGAAAATTACCATCGTATCACAGCTAACAATTTTAAGTTATTCAATTGATTCCAAACTTTTATTACGGCAACATAATGCAATTTCTATATCAAAATGAATTTAAAGAAACGGAAAATGAGTAACAAAACTATAACAATACAATACTTATTTATTCAATTAATTGAAAGATGAACTGGTATAGTGATTCATTTGCTTAAGCAGCCTCGACGATTTTTATTTGTTCATTTTATTCAAGTCAAATTAGAAAAATCGAAAATTTTCAAGGTCGTCGATCCGTGTTTGAAAGTGGCTGGGGGTGGGGGAGAACAAATTGCAAAATAAGGAAGTCTTGGAAGGAAGCCCATGCGTTCTATGCTATAAGTCGTATATATTTAATTTTAAGTAATGCAATTTACATTTATTTCCACACTTTCAATACTGGAACATTGACGGATCTAGGAAATGTAACTTTAAAAATTAATACTTAAATGTTTCCCTCAATAACAGTTTTTAGAAGCCTAAATTATAGATTAGGCCTATATTCATTACCATTTATATATCACGCGCCACCAAACACGGCAAGGAAGATTTTTTCAAACAAAACAAACAAACAAACAAAACAAACATGCCTTGAACAGCTTCATATCTGTTGAATACAATCAAGGTTATTTTCTCCCATTATGTATTTACGTATATGCTTCGTACCACGGTACGATGCACTAAAATACTTTATGAAAGCATAGGCCTATTTCTGAAGCAATTGAAATATCGGCACGTACATTTTTGTTTGGCCTGGCCTATTTTGAAGTTGGTTCAACTTATGTATTGTGCACGTTTTTTAATCACGTCAGGTCATCTTAATGAATACTGTACGTTTTACTTCACTGAAAATCATGTCATTGATTGTTCTATTGTTATCAAAAACATATTGTTTAAAGGTTTGCATGTCAAAGTAATAACATATTGAATGCTTGTGGTACACCACGCAGTTTTGTTGAGAATGTCTCGACGTTTCGAATGAGTTGCTCCAATCGTCATCAGGAGAATAATATCAATCGAAACGTCGAGACATTCTGGAACTAGAATTTTTTGAAATTAGGAAAAACAGGAATCTATGTATGCAGATAATATTAAACACTAGTATGGGTCTTAATAATATAAAAAAGCAATAAATCGTTTATAGTATAAATTGTGCACTTTTGAGTTTGTAAAAATGTTGGCCTATTAGGTTTACACGCTACCACGGCACGATGCACTAAATAATCTTTGAAAGCATATTTCTGAAGCAATTGAATAAGCCTGTTTTAAATTTGGTTCAACTTATATATTGTGCACGTTTTTGAATCACATCAGGTCATCACACCTAATTGAATACAGTACGTTTTACTTCACTGAAAATCATGTTCAATATGATTGTTCTATTGTTATGTTTAACGGTTAGCATGTCAAAGTAATAATATAGTAAATGCTTGCGGTACACCACGTAGATAGTTCTGAAAGGTTTTGTAGAATGTCTCGATGTTTCGAATGAGTTGCTTCAATCATAATCAGGATAATATCAATCGAAACGTCGAGATATTCTCAAAAAAACAACAGTTGTTTTCAGAACTATAACGTGGTGTACCGCAAGCATGTAGTATGTCAATATTATACTTTATCAGACACATGAAATTCCCAACATAAACTACAAGATATACAAGACTTGACTATATTTATTGCTCTTTACAATGCTGTAACCGTTTTAAACAATTTTAGAATGTAATGCATTAAGATTTTCGCCTAAGTAGACCCCACAAAGACTCTGTCTCTGGGTCCAATCAGGTGCATTTTAGGGCCAGGCAATTATCTTGCACTTGGGCCTGTCACTAACTCGCTATGCCGCTGTGGCCCAGGGAGGGAGGGGGGACTTTTACAAATGGAGGGTGTTACCGCGCCTCACCTCACAACAACCGTCAAACATTATTATTTCACAAACATAAAGTATCATCAGCTGTATAATTATTTAATAATGGCTAGGCCCCTATATAAAATTCAATTGAACCGGAATATATGTATGCAGATAGGCCCTAATATTAAACACTATTAGTACAGGTCTTAATAATATTAAAAAAGGGGAATAAACTGTTTATAGTAGAAATTTTGCACTTTTGAGTTTGTAAAAATGTTGGCCTAATAGGTTTGATGCTTCGAATTTTAACGCCAAGTGTACATTGGTTTCCCAATAAATTGAATCTCTGATAACCGTTTGCATCTATAAAATCGAGTGGTTACTGAGATACGAAGTGTACAAACAATTGCGTTTTCTAATCTGTTTTGATCCGGAAATATGCACCGCACTGTAAACAGAGCACAAATTAACAGACCAAATTCGTAATTGTTGTTCTTTCCACTCGCTTTGAAAAGTGGGGTTTTAACTATAGAAAATTGGTGAAAAGTTGGGGGGAGGGAGTACAGTTGAAATAATTCCACTACTGGTGTGGGAACATGTCCCCCGTCCCCCACCAATCGACGCCCATGAAAATAATGGTTCCAGCTCTGCCATACTTTAAAGTTTTTCAAAACGCTAGCGTTGATGCATTAAACAACAATAACGTTATAATAATATTGCAGCTCCTTGGTGTTGTACGTACTTGTAACGTTGCTGCCATGCTGTGTGTGACGTTATTTTCTGACATAACCTAACAACAACGTTCACAACTTTGCGAAAGTTATAACATTTTGTGCTTGTTGGGAAATCGTGCAAAACTATCGAAATAGTAACGGTGTCATCCCTTTTCACCAATACTCTCAGTTGGTCCCTATATTTCAAAAGCCTTATACGCCCAATAAAATGGCATACTACAGCCCTTCATATTTCCAACTATTTATTACTGTATTTATTACATATCATAATATAAGATAATCCTAGTCACTGTTGTTGATTTTGTTGTCAATAGGCCATTATTGTGTTCACGTTTGTATATTATACCCCTGTGACGTACAATGACTACAAGTATCCTGCTTGGGCAGAGGTTGTCGGATGGATTCTCAGCTGCACTTCATTTGTCGTCATCCCTATCTACGCAGTGTTTGCTATTTCCCGAGAGGAGGGTCCGATCTTAGACGTAAGTTCTCATTCTAACTGGCTTGTACTAAACATAAGTAGGCCTTACGTAAACACGAAAACATATGATCAATTTTCGTAATTGACGAAGCTCTATTTAAGTGTAAATGGCCACATAGCCATACAATACAATTTGTCGGGGACAAA